CAATAACTGCGTAAGAGCTTTTAGTTGCTCCTCTGTGAACATTGGAAAAGTAGAATCATTAGAGGTAGTTGCGTGAGCATTGTGAGCTTTAGGCCCACTGTTTCTTCCTCGATCAGAAGATGAAGAACCACGCCCTCTGTTGTTTGGAGCACCTCTGTTCTCTTGTTTACTTGAGCGCTCTTCCCACCAATCCGGAAACCCAACTAGTTGCCAGCAATTAGCCTTATCATGTCCCTTACGACTGCAATGAGAACATTGTAAAGATCGTCGCGCAGATAAGTCAACTTGATCTTTCTTTGCAACGAAGCCAACTGCACTTTGCTGAACTTCTCTTTCCTTGGACGAAGCAAGTCTTTGTTCTTCTCTAATGACTTTAGCATACGCTTCTCCAAGATCAACTAAGGAATCACTCGATATAATTCCTTGACAAACTCCCCCAAACCGAGATTCATCAAGTCCCATGACGAACTGATGCACTTTCTCTTCATCTCTTTCTTTCTCATATTCTGCAGAAGCACTGCAACTGCAAGCTGGAAGAGGCTTATACATGTCTAGCTCCTCCCACATCTTTGCTAAACGTCCATAGTACTCCATCACTGATTGACCACCTTGTTTGCAAGAAGCCAGTTGTTCTTTCAGATGATGAACTCTAACTTTGTTTCCCACTGAGAAACGCTTCTTCAAATTTTCCCAAAGTTTATAGGAATCAGACATAAACGTGACTGTTGACCGAACCTTTGCCTCTATAGAAGAACGGATCCAGCCTACAATCATGGAATTAACCGAAGACCAAAGCTCAAATTTCGGATCATCAATGGAGGGTTTAGGTATTGTTCCATCGATAAACCCTAATTTTCTTTTAGCTCTCAAAGCGTTGGTTAACTCCGTAGACCACTCATTATAATTCTCTCCGGTAAACACGACCGAAGTGATTAACGCACCGGGATTGTCTGAGGCATACAACGAGTATGGAGTTGCACTCACGGTGGTTACATTACTTTGATCAACTAGATCACTGCTCTTACTTGCAGAAGACTCTTCTCCACCAGCCATCGAACTTGATGTGCTAATATACTAAAAAAAAATATTTAGGTCTCAAGAAGGTTATTGCTCTGATACCATGTAAAGTAGAGATTGAACAATAAACTTTTAACTTGTATTGCTTGAACGTATTACATCAGCTTATATACACGAGTAACCACCGACTATAATCTCCTACTTCTACTCGTATTTATCTCTAAGATATAAGTAAACATTAACATAATAAGACTTATCAATAGGTAATCCTTATCACAATAGGATTCCCTAATACAGATACTCTTTTGCAATTTCTGCAAACAAAAAACTCGACTTCCTCCTCTCGCAGTAACAGAAAAAAAAACACGGTTGCTCACGTCGGGAAGGAAATGCTTACGAAAGCAGCGAGAGAGGTAAAGGTTTCATCATCAATGCTCAAGCCTTTGTTTGCTCTTCTTCTCCCCTCCTCCTTCAAATTCTCCATATGAAGTGAAACAAACCCTTCCATGGCATGGCAGGGAAGAGAGAGCACGTTTGGGCTGTTGGTGTTGGGTCACATAACGCCGGAAAAAGCACTCTGATCAATGCTGTTGGGAAGGTTTTTGGCGGGAAAGTTTGGCATTTGACGGAGGCTCCGAACTACATTGATATTCCACGGTTTGTTGAATCCGCATCAGATCACGACTAGATTCACCAGAGAGGAGCTTAAGCCTAGGACTTACAGATCAATGTTTTGTTCAGTAACATTCTCCGTAAAAGATTGTTGTGTTATCGAGTGATTGAGATTATGTTGCAGGAATGTTATACTGTCCATATCAGTGGGCTAATGACACTTGACATTGATGAAGCATCTGTAGATTGTATTTGAGTTGAAGAAGTTGTGGCTCAAATAAAGTTTGGATCAAAGCATAATTTGAATAATGCAAGTCTTGACCTTTGTGCATTATGATTCTTTCTTGATGAAGCCGCTGATTGACGAAAAACGGGTTGAAGAGATAGGGAAATGGAGGAGAAAGGAGTTCGAAGGAGGTGTCGTTGTAGTATTACAACCTTTCAGATATAAGTTAAACTTTCTTATTTTCTTGTCTTGGTAACATTACAATCTCATTAGGGAAGATGAACACATCATATAACATAAGGATTTGTATAGAATTATACAGAAGAGAGAACAAGGTTTGCTGTTTCATCCATAGCTTTCAGAGACTTAAGAAAGAAACAGAGGAAAACAAAGAGAGTATTCTCACTCAATCTCTCTCAGCTGCAAATCGGACATGGAACAAGACCGTTCTCATTACACTCCGTACACCTCCCAACAAGGGCAGAGCTACCCCATCCTTTCACAACTTTACAGCTTCCGTTACACTGGAAACACGGCAAGAAAAACAAACCACCGCATCCATCACAAGCACCATCTCCATCTCCGCCACATCCTCCTCCTTTTTTACTCGGCATCCCACGTATCATCTCAGCAAAAACACCTTCCTCGACTAATCTCAACACTTCCTCTGCTCCACCAATGTACATTCCCTTCACAAACACCCTAGGAGGCAATGCAGAAGAAGCCTTATCGTTACTGTTACTGATCCTCTTGGCCATCAGAGTCGCGAGCTCTTCCCTAAATCCTCTATCCATGGACACGTCTCTCTCGCAGATCACTACACCTGACACCTCCACCGCCGCTCTCACGGCGTTACATTCCTCGAACGTCCTACGCACGCCGCGCAACGACGTCGTGTAGATCACCACTCGATTCTCTCCTCCTGGAGGACAGATCCTCTCGAATCTCTCCGACAGTTTCGGATCCAACGGTTCCAGAACATCCTTGTTCAGTGATTTTGTCGGATTTCTCCGGTTAGGATCCGAATTCTCTTTGTATTCTCCTCCTGGAGGACAAATGCTCTCGAATCTTTCGGACAGTTTCGGATCCAACGGTTTCAGAATCTCCTTGTTCAATGATTTTGTCGGATTTCTCCGGTTAGGATCTGAATTCTCTTTGTTTTCTCCGCCGAAGACTTTATACTTCACGGGAGGAGTCTTCGGGAGAGGAGTGAAGCGGAAACTCTCGCCGTCGAGGCCAGACATAAGCTCCCATGAGTTGATAACTTCCGGCTCAGACAACGGTGACTTTGTGTCTGCACCGGTAGTGAGTTTCTGAGGCGGCGATGTTGGAGGAGAAGGAGGAGGATCGAGAGTGAGAAGACCATAAGTAGTGGAGGTTAGCTTGACGATGTGGTGGCCGAAGGCGGAGCTGGCGCCGATCTGAGGGAAATCTTCGTCGTGATTTAGGAGGTTTGATGAGACGCAGCCCATTATTACCGGAGAGATTGGATGTTTCTTGATTTCTTCGCCGGAAGATTCCTTTTTAAGAGATTTCGAAAATGGGAATTTTGAATTTTTTTGGAGGAACGGTCGAGTGAGTAAGTGAGAGAGATCGAGAATAGTTGAAAGTAGAAAGTAGAAAGAAGGTGCGTCTTTGTTTACGTACTCTCTTAAAAACAATTATTATATAATTTGAGGAAAACTAAAGATTTTTTTAAAGGAGAAAAAATAATTATTATAAAGTTTTCTGAAGCAAAGTAAAAGTTAAAGATGGTGACTGGTTTGGAGATCTGAAGCTTCACTGTCTATTATACTTGGAAAGTTTAAATAATTTTTGACTATATATATTTCAGTTAAATACCACATTTTGCTTTTAGAAGTTTGAACTTGTAAGAAGCAAAATCTATATATTGCTTCCTCCATTCCATATTAAATGTCATAATAGAACTTTTTTCCGTTACAAAATAAATGTCAGTTTATTAATTTTATTAAAAGAGTTTTTTTCAGTTTTCAACCTAAAATAAATTAATTTTATTATGAAATATATTTTTCTATTGGTTAAAATATGATTAGGTGTATAAGTAATTGTGATTTTATATATAAAATTAATTATTTTATTAATTTATGTGCACAAGATTAAAATGACATTTATAATAAAATAGAGAGAATATGATGATTTTTAAAAGGTCTTAAGGGGTATTTAAGTGTTTTTAAAATATTTTACAGTTAATTATTTATGTATTATGAAAGAACCATTCTAAAAAAAAAAACAGAAAAAAAATTCATTAATTATCTAAATTGGTTAATATCTGTTATTATAAAGAATAGTTTTATCCCTCATTAGGATGCCACCTCATCAATTCGAAGCTGGAGAAACCGACATGTGTCCCCCTTCCCTTTTTAATGCTTTTGGTGTGATTTTAGATGGGCTCGAAGGTTGGCCCGTTAAGCATCGTCACGCTCAAAACGTTTGTAGCCGCAACTAAATTTTAGAGTTCATATCATCCTGCGAAACTGCTTATGTCTACCATTAATGGACTTTTCGAGCTTCTAGAAGAGACGTATCTTCGTGACCCATCATTGCGTTTATGTCGGTTCATTTCGTGTCGTTTCATTCTCGATTCATCTCTTAGCATGCGTTACCAGTTCCATTGATTCAACATCATTAAGGAGATCTTAACTATTTCGACACAATGCAATCACGATCAGTCATTCAATGAGTTTTATCTTTCTTCCAAGCGGTGGATCTCCACCTATAAAAAGGTCAAACCTCATCTTTTGAAAATTATTCTCACTCCAAAGCTTTCATAAATATCTTTATCTCTCATTCAAAAGTTTCTTTGAGAATCTAAGTTTCCAGTGTTGTTGTTCGGAATTGTTACCTTAATGGTAGATTTGGCGGGGTTGGTCCGTTCCGAGAAGAAACATGGCTTGAATCACTTCATCTCAGCGACGGCGACTTTGAGTTTTGGTAGCTATCAACTCTGCAACTAACAACGAACCCTCGAGAATTCTGGTGGTTTCACGCCGTTGATTAAGCTCCCGCCTACACAAGCAGTGGAGCTTCACTATTTCACTGATTCGTTGTCGTCTTCTCAAGTGGCTTTGTTCACGAGTTCACTTCTGTTTCCAAACAGGTTTGTTTCTACTTTCTATTGATCTATCCCCATTTTGACATGTCGCAATTGGATGATTATTCTAATAGATAATAGAATTGTTATATACCCTCACAAGAGATATACTGAAATCAGAGACTCCACTTAGAGTGGCTCTCCACAAATCCCACATAATTAATATCATCCTAACTGAAAATTTGAAGAGGAGTTTGAAGAAGTAACTCTGCATAACTGTCTCCATTATCCTGCCTAACATTATCCCCCTTTCGCAGTGATGCAGATGCTAGCCTTTGTGTGTGATGGGCTTGCTATCAAACTTCATAAAAAATACAAAGCTTATGTCTGGAATCCAAAGGCTGTTTTGTCCATGTCGCAAACAGATCTCTGTCTCTTCAGAGCATGATCAATATGCTAACATAAGAAACAAGGAAGGATGATATAGAAGTTGGGAATAACCGAATGACTCTTTTACATGCATTTTGAGAAGATGCATCACCAACAGTGAAGGGTAGATAATGAATCTGTAGGAAACTGAAGGCCAAGGTTTTAAGAAACAAGTAGCAAGATAGAAAGAGAAGGGTACGTAGCTTAATGGATGTCAGACTGATCAAACTTTAGAGTACACATCAAGGAACAAGCCTTTGGAGCATTCAGCGAGGCACATATCATACTTTCTGAGACAAAAAAGGTAAGAACATCACAAATGAAGAATTGGTTTGAGGTGTGAAAAGATTCTTGAGTATGAATGTTACGCTCAGCAACTTGGGCTGTAATGCACCTATAGTAATTCGGATGCTCTATTCATATGGTAAAATGAAAGTTTAGATTTTAGTTTCTCTGAAGTTTTCAAAAGTTTGTGGTTATCAGTTCGTTTGCTTGGTTTCATTTGAAAAATAAATAAATACATTTTTGGTGTAATTCATTTTTAGAGAATCTCTTTCACACATAGCCTTGAAATCACTACCCAAACCGAACAGTATAACACAAACTAATTTGGTTTTCGTTCGAACTCAATTATATTTCGCTTCAGTTTGATATGTATTTTAACTATTTTCTTAAAAAATTCGTTGGTACCCTCAATGAATTTCTTTCTTTAGACAATAATGTCTGGTAATAATAATGTTTAATCGATAACGTAGAGGTTCATTATATCGACACCAAATAATGAAAAAAATTAATAAATTTTACTGGTTTTTAATTGGTCATATGTAAGATAGAACTTAATTCAATAAAATAATAACAATAAAATTTAGAATTTTTATATAAATATCTTATTGAAATAAAAAAACTGCTATACATATATAAATTTTATATAAACATATACAAAGCACTTAAAATGAATTTCAACTTTAATTTTAATTAATTTCAATATTTGATATTTTCACTAAATTCAGATTAAAAAACCATTTATATCCTAAGGTCAGATTCAACCACCATATTATATATCATATAATCTGATAAAATATACACAATTTAACTAATATATAATACTGTAGTTAATTTTTCCTTTTAAATAAAAATGAATAAAAATAACTTAATTTTTCCAAATTAGTTATTAATAAATTATCATAGTTTCAATATTGTTAGTTTATAAAATTTAAACTATAATATAAAAAATGAACATAAAATTGTTAATAATACCAAGACTGATCACTAGACAACAAGATAGCAAGCTATTTCATCCTCTCTTAATTTTAATAATAATTAGAACGAAAATGTACAATACTATAATTCTATAAATCTGTAAATAATAAAACATCCATCCAGCCAGAAAACCACCTAAACGTCATCCATTCTGTAATATATATATATATATATATATATATATATATATATATATTTATATTATACTAGGATTTAACCCGTTCTACGAGTCGGTATTAACCGGAAAGTTTTATATATCATCAATTTAATAAGTATTTCTAGATGTTTACCTTATTTTAAATTAAAAATGATCTTAATATTCACTGTATATTGTTATTCTTTTTATAGATTATATTTATCTTACTATTAAAAAGAAGTTCACGAATACATAATAATTCATATGTTTTTAGTATTTACTCTATTTTAATTATGATAGTAAAATGGAGGTTTTAGTATAAAACATGGATTACATTTTTGTTCGTCATACATTTTATCATCATCTAAAACTTTCTAAAATCAAAAATTATTATCATACATATCTTTTGCAAATGCAAATCCAAAACATAAATTAGAAAATCATTCAAAAGAATAATAACCTAAATCACAAATAAATAATATCAAACCTGTAGGACGGGCCGATCTTAGTCAGTTTATATTTAAAAGCTGGGTATGTGGATTGATCAGTGACGTGTGATAAAAAGGTGATGTTTTCTTTGTTTTGAACTAAATTAAAGTGATAATATTAAGGCACTCACGAGCCAATCTCAATTGAAAATATATGTGACATTATCTCGTAAATTCAAATTTCCAAAAATATGAAAGTATAAAAAATTTAAAAAGGTAAGAATGAAGACCGTTTTTCAAACTGGGACATGGACCCTACAGTACACATTCACGTTTTAGGCGCTAAACTAGAAAAGTAAAATTTGAAGGTACGTACCTCGAACTGAGGCAGCGATTGGAGTATATGAAAGGACCCAAAGATTAATACATTAAAAAGACTTCCTAAATAAATTCGACCACATGCAATCAACCAATCATGAACGACCTAACTCCCAAGACAGACCGAGATGAAGCAAAAGCCCTATGCAATATATTCAAGCCTGAGAACATCATTATCCCAAAGACCCAAAATGGATCTTTTAATATTTTTTTAATAATTTTAGTATTAAATATTAGGTTAAGATACATAATTAAGAAACCTAACATTTTTTGGCTTCCAACGCAAATCTCTTATTTAGGATTTCTTAAAAAAAATTGTTGTTTAAATCACAATCAACAAACTACACCTTTGTTCTTTATCTACCAACTAGGATAATACCTGCGCCTTGCGCAGGATGAATATATGTAATTAAAATATAAAATTTTAATATTCACAAATTTAAATTTACATATGATTATTTTTGTATGTATTTGAAATTTTAGAATTTTGGAATTTTTATATAATTATCTATACGTATGATCAAAAACAATTTTAATTAGAAATGTAAATCAAATCTTAGAATTTAATGGATCTGATTTCATATATCTTTTTACTTTTCAGTGTTTGAGTGATGGAAAATAAATGGAGTGTCACTGGGCTTGATTGGTAGAGTATAGCAAGTTCCCTAATGTTTTTAAAGAAGCAATTGGTAAAATATTTGCAATTAAAATATATAAAGTTTCTAAACTAATTTAATATAATTTATTTATTTGTCTAATAATATTAGAAAATTATTTTTTTTTAAAAATTATATTTTTTAAAAATAATTTTCTAAAAAATTATGTTAAATTTAAAATTATTTTTAAAAGCAATATTTTAAGTTTTTCGAATACAAATAAACAATTTAAAATTAATTATTGTCATG